CAAAAGGATGACAAAAAGAAAACCATCAATTGTGCCTACAATTCTGGTTCTGAAACATCTGTATAGGTAAGTAAAAGGGGGATTTGGGGATTCTATTCCTGGGTGTCTGCAGCATAGTACAATCAGCCCCTCCACAGTGTCACAGAGATACAGGGGGGAAAATAAGCTGAGTTGCTGCTGCCAAGAAAGGAGAAAAAAAATGTGACAGGATTACCTGAGCCATCACAGCTGCAGCTGTGTGGTAGCACCACAGCAATTCTGCATTGGAGGATGGGCGCAGGGACCACGTTCTGCAGAGTGAGGACTGCTTTCTGGTCCATACAGCTGACACCTTGCTCTAGCCGCTCCACCCAAATGCCCGCCCACCTACCACCTCCACATACCAAGCCTCCTACTCACAAAAGCCTCACCTCCCCAGGGAGTTCACACCACACCCAAGAACCTCCACCCCAGGACAGTACAGTTGCTTTTTCCTCTAAGGGAGCTTTCATTTCACTCTTCCTTTGATTAGTTATTTACAAATCTTTCCCCTTTGCTAGATTCTAAATTCCTTGAGGACAGGAACCTTTTTATTTTTTTATTTTTTATTTTTTTAGCTGAGCCATCCTGCCACTTGTTGGCAGCTTAGCAGCTGCTCAGCTCGGGCCAGGACTCAAACCGCTGTTGCTCAGAGCTCAAACTCTTGAGTGAGCTCTTAACCAACTGAGCCACTCGGCCAGCCCCTAGGAACCATTTTTTATTTTTCCTTATGGCCAATGTCCCCAGCAGCAAATGCTAAATCTCCTCAATCCATAAAGTAGATACTCAATGCCTTCAGACATTTTTGTTAAACAAGAGACCAGGAAACCAAAAGGAAAAGAATTCTATTTCCAAACACATTATAGCATGTAGCCAGGTTTAATATTTTATTTTTTAGCTATTTAATGTAACATTTTAGAAAACTCATTTGGAGAAAAAAATACTAGCGAATATAATTTACAAATAACAATGTAAGAGGGAAACATAAATATTTCAAGCTTAAAATATAAACTAATGTGAGTGTGAATAAGAATCAAGGAAAACATGAAGAGCCTACTGGCAATTTTTCACTTTGAAAGCATCTGTCTAAAATTAAGTGGATACTGGAATATAAAGTGGGATCAGGGGCCGGCCGAGTGGCACGTTGGTTAAGAGCTGGCTTGGGATGCCAGAGGGCCCCGGTTCAGATCCCACATATAAGGGCCAGTGACACTGCCCTCCACAGCTAAGATGCTGAACAACAGCTC